GAGTATTTCGCAGAGACGACAAACGTTTTCTGCCATTAAACTTGAGAACAGTGTCAAAGGTGCGTCAAATCTGGATTTCACGATACCAGACAGGTGACAATCTTCTCGCCCAGGCGATCCACAGCCTGTATCTCCCTTTTCCGTTTTGAAAGGCATCATTTTTGCGCAGTCAAGGTAGCTTTCCGTAGTATGTTGAGATTTTGAATATAACATCTTTATACTGTTCGTTACATTCAGAGAGTTTTATAGCTGCGAATCTCCATAAACACTGGCCTAACGGATTATATTGTCCTATAGCCATCTTGAAGTCGATACAGCTAATTCTCAACTTACATTACAGCAACTCCAGCTGCTGTGAGAAAACGAGTAAGTCTCGAAAGGTTTAGAAGTACGATTTGTACATTTCTATAATTGCCGTTGATCAAAGCTTTTTTGTCAAAGTTATATTGAATATGGTTCCGTCAATAACCATTCTTTTTGTCCATTAACATTCGTCTTTAAACTCTTTAATATTCATATTCATATTAAATCTGGGATTTTGATTAAAAAAAAAAAAAAAAGAAAAAATTGGATGATCTCTGAACATTTACAAGTTATTAAAATCTCGAAGACGAGGCTCGAATATAATTGTACGATCAATCGAACTTACCTGTAAGTGAAGTTCGATCGTGATTATATGAAGAGCCTCGTCGAGAGATTCAGTCCCTCCCAACTAGCTTTCCCAAACCCGTCCAATTTTTTCTACACTATTGCTTAACTTTAAACTAATTATAAGATGGCGAGCCCTCAACGCCGAGGTGCCACAGCCAACTTTTTCTATGGTCTCTGAAGGCGTGTGGCTCCATCTAGCCGCAGGCGGACTACTACAAGTTATTAAAATCTCTCGACGAGGCTCTATATATAATCACGATTGAACTTCACTTACAGGTAAGTTCGTTTGATCGTACAATATATTCCATTGATACGCCAATTCGGCTTTCATTAGTAGTTTTTTCACTGTCTATGTGCAATTGTTTATAAAATAAATTCAACATAACTGCAAACTGAAAGGCACTCCATGTAACATAGCTTTGTGACTAGACAATAGGAATCATTCACAATTCCCGTACACGAGAGCCTGATCGACAGCTAAATACGTGTTGTATTGAATACATCAACTATGTTCAAAAGCCTTCAATATTTGAAAAAATACATGACGAAATCCTCTATTTTTTTTTAAGTAAAGATTACAGAACATTTCACGTTATCCGCAATGGGAATCGCTTTCCGGCAATTTTTATAGGAATGGAGGAGAAGAAATCTGAACCGTTCAGTGAATTTTCAGGTTCATCACCGAACAAAGTACGAAATTGTCACCTAATTTTTCCCGAAGAAGTAAAATCTTACAAAAACTTCCCGGCTTATTATGCCTCCAAAATCAAAAATTCTTGAACGTTCAACAATTTCTGTGAAACTGGTGAGTTATTTCTACGTTCCGTTCCGTAAAATTTCTCAATCGTTGAGAAAAAATAACGGAACGACTTGTTGTCCCCACAGGATTCTAGGAAACCTCTTCCCCGGACATAATTTCCCGGACACAATTTCTCCGAAAAAAAATCCCCCGGACAAAATTTCTCCGAAAAAAATTCCGCCGTATAAAATTCGACAGACAGAATTTCTCGTGAAGTCGTGCTCGTATAACCGGCACGAGGAAAGTTAGTAGTGGGGATATCAGTTTAACTGTGTTGGGTTTTCACCTGAATGTTGATTAGTTTGTATTCTATTCGTGCCTAAATTCTTCATCATTCAGTCCAGATTCAACTTGTATACAGCGAGCCACGAGGCGAAGAGCAAATTACTTGCTAATATAAATTAAAATTACAGTAGACTCCCGTTAACTGTCGCTCGTCGGGACCAATATCGATCCCAGTCCACGAAAGCGACACTTAAAAACGGCCCCCACTCCGCGCACCGATTCTCCGAAATTTAAAGAGACTAGTGATAATATGCATGTGGAGAGGGGATTTATTTTATTCGTTGTTCGAACAATTTTATTTTTTAATCATACTCATAGCTTTATTATATTTTACATTAATATCATATCAAATACTAATATATTTATAAATGAATATATATATAAATTTTTTTTATATTTCTTCTTTGTTTATTGTTATTGTTTTGTTTATTACATAATATATACACACATATATTATTCTCATATATTTATATATTTTCTTATCATGCCATATGAATATTATTATAAATATTAATATGATAATAAAAATATAATTTTTTTCCATTTTTTTGGAACTTACGTCAAATCATATCGAGATGGAAATGTATTCAATTATTCGAGAATTTTAGACATGCTGCCTTGTATCTGATGTTCCAAAGGACCGTCGTTTCTTCTGGTGATAATGTGTCTTTATCCTGAAGAATTCGAAGAATTTGACAGGCGTCATTCTTTTCTCTCGAATCACTCGTTCCTCTGTTGACTGTCCCTCTGGAGGTTGCTCTAGCTCTTCTAGACAAGGCATGTCTTCTTCAGTGTCAACTCCTGAACAATTACCCATCACATTCATCTGATTTCCATCATTTTCCCCATTGTTATCGTTTTCAGGATGCTCGACCATAGCAATGATCCTTTCATCTGTCAGTTCATTCTAGTATGAATTGTCGGAATTGTTGACCCAGTCGTGAATGTTATTTATAGATAAATTAGAGTCATTAACTATTTGAGACCAGAGATGCATGAGCTGCAGGAATTGCTTAACCCTCTCTGCACTTGGTACATCTGACTCGTTGGGTAGCAACGGTTTCCAGCACTTCGCTGTCGTCACTGGTGAGACATCATCCCATGCTTTTGCTACCCATTCAATTACATGTTTAATTGTGATGGTCCTGATGTGCGCCTCCAAAGTTCCACCCAATTCTTGAGCTGTTAGTATTGATGATAGGAATGAGTGACGGTAATTTTTCTTCATATTTTCAATTATCCCTTGATCAAGGGGTTGAATGATGGAAGTTGTGTTGGCAGGAAGGAACTCGACGTTGATATCTCCAACAGCAATATTTTTGGGATGACATGCAGCATTATCAACAAGATGGAGGGCCTTGGGTGATAAATTACGTGACAGCAAAAAGGTTGTTACGTGTGATACAAATTCAGTGGTGAACCAAGACTCAAAAATGATTGAATTCATCCACGCACTCTTTTGATGGGTGTAGACGACCGGAAGAGAGTCCCTAGCATTCTTCAGAGCTCGAGGTCGTCCTGATTCTCCGATTACCACCAATGGCAGCTTGCATGATCCATCAGCATTTGTGCAAGCCATGATTGTTAGGCGTTCTTTATTTTGCTTGAATCCTGAGACTTCTTTTTCATTCCGTGATCCCAGTGTCTTCTTTGGGAGCATTTTAAAATTCAGGCCAGTTTCATCAGCGTTGAAAACCTGACAGGGTTGAAGATTTTGTAGCATGATAGGAAAATTTTGTTTAAACATCGCAGCTCCAGCTCTGTCAGCAGACACTTTTTCTCCAGCAATTGTATAGGATTTTATTGAATTCCTCCCTTTTCATCCACTCAACCATCCCTCACTGGCTGAAAAATCTTCTGGACCTCCCAGTTTTTTATTGAGCTTCACTGCTTCCTGTCTGATGATAAACCGAGAGATATGGGTTCCTTGTCTTCTGCACTCATTAAACCAAATTTTTAGTACTTCCTCCAATTGAGGATTCTCAGCACCTCGAATTCTTTTACCTGGTTTTTTTTTAAGATAAATTTTTTACCAAACTCGAAATTTTTCGTCATCTTTCTTTCACCGTTGAATTGTTCTTGGGGTGACATCAATCTCATGGCCTGTAGATTCCGACTTATCAGTACTATTCAACCGTTCAATATACTGCAATTTTTCATTCACAGAAAACACGGGACACTTTCTCTTCTTCAACTCACTCATAATTGATTATTAGTATACAATGATACCCACCTGATATGCCTTGACAGCAATACACACAGTTATAAAATTAATCGTGTTCTTCTCGTTTAGTTTATGGAGATAGAAACAACTGAGCGCGTGACACGTTTAGGGGCCGAGTTTAGGGAAAACTGCAAGGAATCGAAGCGTGCGAGTGGGGGATGTTTACGTTCCGCGAAAAACGCTCGAAACCGAGAAATTCCCGGAATAGCGACAGTTAACGTGATGATAGTTATCGAGAGTCTACTGTACAGTATCTTTATCACGCCTCAAAATGTTAGAAGTGGTTGTTTTGGCTCTCGTCACTTTTTTCTTGGTGTTTTTCGGTGTTAATTCTTATTGTTTATTAAAGACTGACTTTCTTGCAAAACTGCTGTGTGACAATTTTTTATGTCTTTCCTCTGTCCATACATTCAAAAAGGAAATTGTGTCTGGGGAAATTTTTTTCGGGGAAATTGTGTCCAGGGCAATCATGTCCGGGAAATTTTGTCCGGGGAAAATATCTCCGGCTACCCCCCACAGCGGGGACTCACCAGACGGATGATTAATTTTTACGGAACAAATCGTAAAATTTACGTGGCGATTCGTACAATTTCAGTTCCGACTCACATTTTTTATTGAATTTTACTTTTCGAAACGTAATTTTTTAATTCTTCTTCTGGTAATTTTTATTCAATTTTTTTCTCCGTGCACAATAATTTTTCCAAATGTGCAAGTTATCACTCACTTATGATACTCGCACATAAATTTTTCTAGAATATTTTACTCACTGTAAGACAATTTCCTCTCAAACCGTGACTTTTTGTAGAATTTCCCACAAAACGTGTCACCAAAACTTTTTAAATGCCACCTCCAGTAATAGAATATCATTTCCACTCTTTCCTTTGTTCTGACAGCATTGCAAGTGATATTCCGACATTTATACAGCCACTACAATAGGTATTAAGGGAGTAACTACTTTGGTTTGAGAAGTAACTCTCGTTCAAAACTTTCACAAAAGATAATCTGTCTCAACCGTTATTCAATTTATATTCTTGTTCGCAGGTCTTCCTCGAGGCTGTTGGTTGACTGTTGTTTCGCTGTACTATCGACAAGTGAGAGATCAAGCAGGTAAGACGACATCCCTCTTACCAAAACCCACTTTAAAACCCGTTGGTGCTCCGTTTATTTTCGTTTTATCATTCGACTCAGTTGAAATTCGATTTTACCTCTACTATTTCTACACTTGAATTGCTTTTCACCCTCAACTCTCGTTCACCATCGCGAGTTAGCCTTGTAGGTAGGAAATGTTCACCCCCTGCAACTTTGTTAACATTCAATGACTATAACAAATACCGAATTACTCTTAACTTCATTATTCAACTTCAAAACCCGCTTGGAAATGTTTTGCGTAGACGATGAATTGCATTATACAGCGAGTAATTAATTTTCACATTTGATATGGTCTGTTTACGACATGGTTCACCCCTCGGTGGTGAAAATTTTTGATATCTAAATCTATTATCCACTTGATCTTCAGCGAAACCCCACACGGCGACATGAATTTCACGCCCCGGACCAAGATTAATTGCTGTTTTTGTTTGGATTTCTATCGGATACTGTATTATCCTCAACTCTCAATATTCCCTCCATGAATCATACGAGAGTAAGACGTGTCCTCAAAAACGATATGGAAAAGCCCCCAATGTCACCACCAAGCAGGACTCCTTGAACCTGCTCGTTATCTTGACAAATGATTTTCCTAAAGCCAGGGCCCGGTCGACAGTTATGTCCACACAAACCTCACCAGCAGCGTTAGTACCAACTGAAATGGATATCTGATTTACCTCAACGCTCATCGATTTCCAATATTACAAAATATCTGGTATTGGACTTTCCACATTTTAGCGGACTGTGCACAATTTTGAAAGAATTATACATGGATGTAATTACACCCTCATAGTAGAAAATCTAGTGTCTGAAATTAAAGCACTTTTGTCCCTTTTTGCTCCCAAATGGACGCATGGTATTCGTCGAATTTTTACATTCTCTAATTTTGCCTGGAAATGATGTAGAATGGTATGAAACATGAAGAAATTATGTTTTTAGAAAATGTCTGTATGTCCGGGTCTGATAGTTCGATTTTTGGGTTACCACTTTTTAAAAAATATAACATTAATACAGGAAAATTCATTGATATGAACGTCAAATTTTGACCCATACTAGGTACTATTAAGCTCAAGTTTGATGCGCAATTTCAACCCGATCGGTCCACTAGTGCCTGAGATATTCAACTTTTTGTATAAAACTATATTGGTGAATATCTCAAAAATTACTTGACTGATTTCATTTTTTTTTTCAAAATACTCGTCTCGATATCTTCTATCTAGATCAATCAAAATATATTTACCCGTTCATACAAAGCTTTCGAGATATGGCCGATTTTCCATTTTTTCCCAAAATTCCTTGTACGCGCGATAACTCGACAAGAAATTTAGACAGAATGTTAAAATTTGGTATCATTGTAGCTTCTATAATACTAAAGATTGGTATTTTGACTGAGCGATATCGGACCGGTAGTCCCAGAGATATTCAACTTTTTGTATAAAACTATATTGGTCAATATCTCAAAAACTACTTGACTGATTTTATTTTATTTTTTCAATATATTCGTCTCGATGTCTTCGGAGGGAATTGCTATGGATCCATTCGGAAGCTTACTACGAATGGAATTGGTAGAAATAAAAAATTAAAATACAAATAACATATAAAGTAACAGTCACATGCCTTCTGCAATATAAGAGCGGTCAACTGCTTGTTTACAGACATTTTGCTCTCTGTTTAGAGATACTGAGAAAAAAAATCCTTTTGCCAAGGAATCGTTTTCTTGGAAGAGAAATCTTTAGGAGCGTGTTTCTCCAGGCCTGTCATTCCCACCTGGTCCATATCAATCTCCGAATATTGTAATCATGTTGAATTATGAAATGATTATGCTCCATATGACGCTGAATGAACATCATTCATTAGTTTCCAAGTTTTTTAAATTTGAAATTTTCTCACGTAAAATAATTTGAAATAATTTTACATGTTAATAATGGAGTTTATTCAATGGAGTTTACTCAAGGTCAAATGTAGTATAATCATTCCGTAATTGAACATAATTTTAATATTTGGAGATGGACTTCGACCCCCTGGGAATGACTGGCCTGATGAAGGAATACGCTCCTAAAAATATAAATGCTTCTCCTAAGAAAATGATTCCTTGGAAAAAGTATGTTATTTCTCAGGAGATATGGCTCGAGATTCAAGTCATTTTTAGTGTCTCAAATTAAGACATTAAGAGATGCTTTCTAGATATTCTAGATGTTTTACTCGAGAATCTTTTCCTTCAAACTGATGTTATTTAATTCTTTTTCTAAATACTTTGTTTAATTTCCTTTACGAGGAAACCGCGGTGAGATTTAAGTGTTCTCTCAGCGACGACTTTTGGTATATGAAGGGATGTATTAAAAAGTAAAAAAAATTTTGTAACCGACCCGTTTTGCCCTGTACATCGATCAAAAACCGAACTTTTCACGTTTTTAGCTTAAGAATGCTCCTTATACTACAGATTTCATCCGATTTTAACTTTTTTTTTCAAAATGTTCGTTATACTCCAACGAACAAACCCAAGTATCCGTTTTACTTTATATGTATTAGATCGTGAGAATATGATTTTTTTATTTTTTTTATTTTTTTCCTCTTCTTAGCAAATCCTAAAATTTTTTAACCGCCCATATTTTTTTTCATTATAAGATTTCTATTACGTGTAATTACAACGTGGAATAACAAAATAGAACGAATTTTATGACAGTAGGCGAGGAAAAGAGAAATGAGAGTGTTGGAAGGGTGATGACTATCAAATGAATGCAAATATAGTAACCCTGCAAGTTCAAAAGAGCGTAAAACCAAAAATAGCACTGAGCAAATACCCGTATATCTTTTTACGTAAAATTGATCTATAATTCATCAGAAATCTAACAGAAAATTGCAGGCGGCTGTATCTTCGATACAGCTGTAATTGTACGTGGATACAATACAAAAACCAGGTGTTTGACAGCTATCTGAATTTAAGATGTCAGATGGTAAAAAACGTCAGAATCTTTAACAGTATCTGAAAATCTGACTCTTGTCTGAAAATTTCAACCACCATTTCTGTCTGAAAATGATGGTGGACATTTTTTGTGTTTGAAAAATTTCAGGTATTTATTTTCAGATATTTTCTGTGTCTGAAATTCAGTTATTTATGAGCGATTCAAACATTTCACTATTACGATATTTCACCTGACTCAGACGGCAAAGTCCATTCAAACATTAATTTTTAAGATATTTCTGATATCTGAATAGTTGACTCATCCACTGCAAAAACTAGGTGTCTGACAACCATCTGAATTTAAGGTGGCAGATGGCAAAAAATGTCTGAATCTTTGAAAGTGTCTGAAAATCTAACTGATGTCTGAAAATTTCAAACACCGCTTGTGTCTGAAACTGATGTCTGTATTTTAATTTCAGATATCTTCGTGTCTGAAATTGAAATACTTCCATTGATTCAGACACATTTTAACAAAATTGTTTGGAAAGTGTCTGAAATTCAGACCTTAGTTTTCCTAGTGTACACGGAGAAAAAAATTCCAGAATTTTTCTGGAGAAATTCAGGCAAAAATTACCGTGCTGTCTGGTAAAGTAGGTTCAATTGTCTAGCACCAGAAAAATTCCACTGCTGTATAGTAAAAATTCCGGTACCGCACAGTACAAGCTTGATCCCTGACTGTTTTCTATTACATGATAAATTACATTCAATAGTTAAAAATGAGTAAAAATTGTCATTCAGCATATCATCCTATTAACTTTATTTTAACCTCTCCTCCATATCCTCTCCCATATTAAAAGCGGAATGCGCGGCAAACGTAGGCGGAACGTTTGACAGGCCAATGTATCTCTACAGCGTCATACACCTCATGAAAAGAAAATAAAGGGCACTTATTTTATTTCTTAACCATTTTATCACAACACTAATTAACCCCTCACGTACGGGCTCGGTATGTCATACCGGCCCATGCAAAAACGCACGGCTCTTTTCAAAATTGAATATTTCCGAAACTATGGCCGATAATACAATCGGACTAATACCATTGGGAAGGTGAATACTGTAGCTTCAATTATATATTTTATTTATAATTTTTCATTCATCACAAAATGTGGGATGCGAAGAGTATTGAGCGAGTGGTAGACTTGGTATCAGAAAGGCCCCGTACGTGAGGGGTTAATATTTCACTGAATTGATATTATAAGAAACAGTAACGTAGGGTTTCAGTAAGGAGATATGTGAGAGATGAGGCTAGAGGAGGTGACGGAATAAATCATCTGGTCACCCCACGTAGGAAATGCCAATGTTGGAGAAACGGGCCAAGCCTGGCACAAGCCTGGGCTTGCCAAGTCTGGGTGCCCAGGCTTGGACCGAGGTTCGGCCATCCCTGGGGACCAGGGCTTGAGTCTCGGGGGAAGGGCGGGTAACCGAGCCTCGGTTGACAGATCTGGCCCAGCCTTGGCCGGACATTGGCATGCCGGAGCTCGATAACCAAGCCTCAGCCAGCGGTGGCCCGGAGCTTGGTCATTGGGCTTCAGCCGTTGGTGTAACTGTAAGGGTTAAGTCGTAAGGGTGAGATGATGAGAATGGAATCATAGAGGTGGAATCATAAGGGTAAAATCTGAAGAGTAAAATTGTAAGGGTCAAATCGCAATAATGGAAAGGGGCGAAAAAATCATAAGACTGACATTCTGAGGGTTGAATGGTAAGGGTGGAAACTTGAGGGTAAAATATTAAGGGTGTAATCGTAAAAAAATGGTGACATTGTAGGTGTTGAAGTCACATGTTACTCGCTAATTATTACGAAAAGAAGAAGAATCGTCATTCAACAGTAATCCTAATTGTTATAATTATTATTGTAATTAATAATAATAATTATTATTATTCATTATTGAATTAATTTACCGATTAAACTGTAGTTGAATCACTTAATATTTCTATCAACTGAATGATAAAACATTCAAGTCGAAAAAAACCGAGATGGAATTAATATGGACGATTTGAA